TATACTTCTAGTACAGCCTTTTAAAATACTTTTTAAACTACTCAATTGACCAACATCTCTTGAGAACATACTGGGTACTAGTCATTCAGTATTGTCATTCTAAGGCACAGATGGCACAACACTGAGCAAGACAAAAAGGGTCCCTACTCTCATGCACTTTACCATCCCAGTGGATGGATACGAGAGAAAGAAAGGATAACAGGCATTGATAATTTCCATGATGAAAATGAATAATGGACAATGGTATATGACATAACTTGGGAAAGGAATAATTTAGACTTCATGGTCAGGAGGCCTGTCTGAGGAGTTGATATTTAAGCTTGGAGAGACCTAAATATTATGATATACCAAGCCAAATGAATATCTGATGGAAGATCGTTCCAGGCAAAAACAAAGAACAGCTTGTGTAAAGACCATAAAAGACAATGAGTTTAGTATATTTGAGAAACGGAATGAAAATGTAGTCGGCTAGCTAGTGGTTGCCAAGACAGAGATGAAGTCAGGGATGAGGTTGGAGATTGTGCAAGAGTCAGACGGTACAGATCCCTAAGGCACAGCATAAAGATTTTAAAATTTCATTTGAGTGTATTGGTTAACTACTGAAAGGCTTTAAGCAAGGCAAGTGATATGATCTGATTTATGTATTAAAAATTATTCCGGGGTTAACCCTGTGGCCTCGTGGTCAAGTTCAGTGTGCTTTGCTTTGGCCACACGGATTCAGTCCTGGGTGCAGACCTACACCACTCGTCAGTGGCCACAGCCACACTGTGGCAGCAACTCACATACAAAATAGAGGAAGATTGGCACAGATGTTAGCTCAGGGCTAATCTTCCTCAGCAAAAAGAGGAAGATTGGCAACAGATATTAGCTCAGGGCCAATCTTCCTTATGAAAAAAAATTATTCTGATTGCCATGTAGAGAATTAACCAGAGAAGGGTAAGTTAGACACAGGAGGACCAGTTGTGAAGCTGTTGCATTGTGCATGTGAGCCATGACGGTGAGTCGATCTAGGATGATAATAAGAGAGATGCAGAAAAATGAATAATTCAGAATGAGTGGAGGAGATGCTGTTGACAAAGATCAGTAAGGAGTTGTATGTGAGAGGTAAGGAAAATGAGTGAACAAAAATTCCACCTAATTTTTTTTTGCTCAAGTAACTGGGTGAACAATGGTGTAATGTACTAAGATGAGGCCTTCTAGGAAAGGTACAGGTTTGGGAGGTTGAGAATTAGTTTCTTTCTGGATATTTTAAGTTTGAGATAAATTTTTGATGTCCACATAGCTACATGATTTAAGTAGTGGTGTATAAGTACAGACTAGAATGCAGGAAAAGGTGATGAGGCATGACAATGCGAACTGGTAAGTCACTGTTAGCTAGAGTGCTATTTAAGGTCACAGGACAGGAGGGAGCTGTGCTGTATCCCACCATTCAGTGGTTGAGCAGGGGTTGAGGAACCATCCAAGAAGGCTGAGACAGAGCAGCAAATCGGACAGGAGAGAAATCTAGAGAGTATGTTGTTGTGGAAGCCAGGTGGATTTGCAAGAGGAAAGAGTTGCTCTTGGTTAAATGCTAGGTTGCCAAGTAAATGGGTCAAGAGAGGTGACCCCTGGATTTGACAATGTTAAGGTCTTTGTGGACCTTAAGAAGAGTGGTTTCAATAGTGTGGTAGAGAAGGAAGCACAAAGAATCAGGCAGGAAGCTACTGGGAGGTGAAGAGATACAGTATGTATAGACCACTCACTCATTAAGACTTTCTCTGAAGAAAAAAAGCAAGATGAACTGGTGACTTGAGAATAATAATCAGTTTCCTTCTGCATCTGTGATTTGCTCCGATGCCTGAAATGCCTGCTAGTTATCATTGGATCTCCAGTGCCTGGCAGATAGTGGGCACCCAATATATTTTATTTTTGCATTTAATCCCACAACAGTTCTGCAACATAGACATTACAAACCTAGTTGAGGTTTAAGAGATTGTAAAATTTATGCAGTCACACAACTAGCAAATGATAGAATCAAGATTCAAACAGATCTTTCTGAATTCAAAGCCCATTTTTTCCCCCTCTACAATATAAAAAATGTTACGCTATGAAAGAGAAATATTCAAATATGATAGGATGAGACTATATAAATTCTTAGACAGTTAGGCTTAAATATGGAGTGGTGGGGTGCTTTATTCACCAATCAACTACACCAAGAGCAGAGACGTTTGCCAAGAAAAGAGTCATCTCTTCATTTGAAACTGTCAGACTTCTAATATCCACGCAGACATGTTACCGATTGTGTTTCTAGTATAATACGGCAAGTTAGAAGGTCTTTTTTTTTTTTTTTCCAAATGGTAAAATTGTACTAATTGTAGAGCATAAGAGGCAAGGCCCACAGTTGCAAATGGAGCAGTGTTTCCCTTTGGTACTCCTGGGGGAGACTGGAAGGGAAAGAGTTTGCTGGAGACGCCACAAAAGTCTTCTCACCCTAACTGATTTTCACATGGGGAAAAAAATCGGTAGTCAACACAAGTTTGAAACTTTAATTCTCCTTGACCCCTATAAAACCATGACTACAACAGGCCAGGCCCCTCAGGGGCTTTCTCTGCACACTCTAATCCTTCCTAGGAACAGAAACATCCCGCCCCTCAACATACCATGGCTTTGGTGACTGGGCTCCTGCCTTCAACCCCTCCTCCTTCCTTTCCTTCAAACCAACAGACGAGGAGGCTCACATTAAGTCAGCACTTTCTCCGGGAAGCCGTATCTGACCCCTGCCTGCACCTTTGGCAGATAGTTGATTGCGCCCATATTTCAACTTAAACTTTTCTTGACCATCACTTATATACTGTTTCATGACGCTCTTTTCATTTAAAATTACATATATATATATACACACACACACAAATTAACTTTGGAATTTTATAGTATAATTGTAATTTAAAATTATATGAGGAATGTGGCAGAATGTTCATAAGAAAAAAATCCTACAAATTATGACCTAGATCAAAGAAAATATCTATCTCTTACTTTTTAGTTGTATTTAGAAGAAAACTGATAAGTGTGAATGTCTGATTTAGTCTCATTTATTCTTCTTTAGACATTTTCCTGTTTCCAGAGTTTGCTTATTAACTACCACACATATTTCTAGATTACATTAAACAATCTAATGAAAGTCGTCAGGGAAGGGAAAGAAACTTTCACTAATTATGTCTCTACCTTACAGTAGCTACTTTTTCTGACACACTCGCCCATTCACTTAATCTTTAGAACTATAGATCGTAGGTCATTTTATCCGTTTTACATATGAAGAAACTGGGGCCCAGAGAAATTACGTTACTTGCGAAATTCACATAACTTGAAATTCAAAGTGTAAGGATGTAAGTCTAGCTATATAGTCCTGAATCCAAAGCTCCAGCTTTTTCCCCTGATATCATTTTCATAAGCAACCATAAATTCATGCAAACTGAACATCTAAAATCTTTCAAGTTTATTATTAATTACTAATGTAGTCTCATAATTATGAAAGTATATGAACACTTTTCAGTTTTCATATATGATTTCACTGTATGATTCTAGAAAGAGAAAATTCACAATTCTTAATTTACTAATTTTCTAGTTGTGAATAATTCTGATCTCCTGTTTCTTTACCACTCTCTGTTAGACTCCTGATGATTTCATGTCTCTGGTGTCTTGGTTGACTACTGGGCAGGGAAAATTAAGGCAAAATTGTAAGTATTCCATCAACATTGAAGATAAATTTTAGAAAAGTCCATACTTTTGAATCCCATTCTCTCTCTACCTCTCTCCAATAACATTGCCCATATTATTTCAGAAATATTCTCTTTTCTTAGATATCTGAAAAGGATCTTCCATGAGAAGATCTAACAGGGTGCCATCTGGACCTTTCCTTAACATGAATACACAAGATAAGCTCTCCTTCAGGAAAGTGGTCCTTCAAAGATGACATCTACCCTCCCATTTTTTTTCCTGCAAATATTTTTATTTGGATCAAGCAACAGCTGGCTTAGCCTGCTGAAAGATGCTTTAAATGGTAGAATCCATGTTACTAGGGCCTGTCTTCAATCTCCTCTAACCGGGACCTTGGGGAATGGTAGCTTTCCAACCTCAATCCAAGATCAGGGATGATCCAAATTGATAACTCTACCATGGATTTGATCTTCTTGTGAAAATCAGCATCTGAATTGATAATATGTTCAGATCTATTGATGTAATTCTTTTCTACACACCTTAACCAGATTAATTTCCAGTGGCAACGGCAATATGATCGAATTGTATGTCTGTAAGCTTTATGTATGAAATAAAAGTATTTGTGAATTTTTAAGTAAGCATTACATTAAATGGTCTCTCTTTTTTGGACACGGATCAGCAATCTCTATATATCTAGAATATAGGAGAGAAAGACTGTGAGCTTTGGACCCAGCAAGACTTAGATTTAAATCTTATCTCCTCCAGGTATAATACGCCCAGCTCTGGGGAACTGAACCACTCCAAGCCTCAGTGTCCTCATTTGTAATGACATATACCTAGCTGATGGGGTCATATGGATGATTAAACAAGATAATCTTCTCAGCACTGTGGTTTTTAATGAGAAATAATATATCAAAGTGTCTAATGCCTAATAGGTGTTTTATTATTAATTATTTCCTAGTATGTGTGGCCAATTAAAACTTGCCTTTGTGTTTGTGTATTGAATAAGTGTAGTAGCTGCATAAGTGTACAGGGATGGCTGTAAGCATTTTACCATAATAAATAATTAACATTGTTTTAATATTTATAATTCAGATATTTAAGAATTAAATTGACAATAATGCAAGGAAACAGAATTTATCCTGAAATTCTGAAGGAATTTTATATAATACTATAAAATATTATTCCCCCAAACATTTTGTAAAATTTGACTTTTCTTGAAATTTTCTTAAAGAGTAAGAATATTTTAAAGAAAATTTAGTGTGCAAGAAATAAAAAAATATAAATAACTTAATGGTCAAACCTACTGGAGAGAAATGACTTCTGGTAGCCACCCTGTGAGAGCATGAATAACCGTGAACTCGCCCAGTTCTCGCCTCTCGGCTGCATGGATGCTGAAAGAGCAAACGCAGAGTGGCATAGTTAATAAAACTTGAAAACAGAGAGAGCCATATAAGGAATAGGAATCTCTAATAAACAGTGATATAATAGTAAACGTAGGGGTCATACTGGTTTTACATCATAGTACAAGAAAACACTGTTCCAACAGCCAGACGACTCATTTTCTTAAAGCACTTAAATAGATCCAATGATCAAATTCCATGCCTATTTACAAAACATACCTGTAAGCTTTATTTTTAAAATATGTAGATTAATATTAATGTCACATACATAAACATATTCGTACATATATTATAAAATATGTAAATATAGATATATATTTTATATATTCAATATACTATCCTGTTGTTCCTTTAAAAATAGAACAGTGTCTTTCATCTTTCTGATTTCAGTAAGTATTCTAAGATGCCTATGAGGCTGTGTATTAAGTCGGTCTCATACATGGGAGGTCAACATGGGCATCAGACATTCTTAATTAAATCCTTAGATAATTTCAGAGGTTGTAATTGACCAAATATCATTCTTCTCATTTCAGTCCTTTTATTTTTTACTTTTTTCTGAAGTGATTAGTCTATTTACATTAACACACATAAATGTCATCTCCCTATTCTGCGCAGGAGTCACAGGGTTAGTCAACCATATGCCAATGGTGGTGATTGATGGTATTGACTGACGTATACACCCTTTTCTTCAGAAAGAAGCCTTGCTATCTTAGTCACACGTTCCATCATTTATAAATTTGCATCGGTTTGGTGTCTACAGATTATGAATTTGATGTGCCCACACATCTCAGGGACAACAAGAATCTATTGGGATAGCGCACGGTCTAGTCTAAACTCCCCTTTGGATAATCTCACTTAGGAAGTGATCGTGCAAACCTCACAGAGCTAATGCTTTCTCATTTGTATATCTCACAGTGATATGAAATAACTACTATATATTAATTTTTTAATGTAGAAAGTAACTACTATATACTATAAAGTATGAAAATAATCACTATAAACTATAAAATCTGAGAAAAATTTACTGACAATTATAAATTGTGCCACATGGTGCTGGTTTCCACTAGAAAGCCTGAGAAATGTCTTACATTTAGTCTCATCCTTTATTTCCAAGCTGGATTTATTTATTTAAAAAAAAACAATAATTCTATTACTCAAGTTGCTATAAAATTCCACTGACCTATTGCTTTAAGAAAGATGAAACGCCTCTCCAATTATCCAGCTCATGCATTTAATGCTTCACTGGACTTGCAGCCCTAATTCCCAGAACTTCTAGTTAGGTCTGAGAATTAGGAATATTAGGAATCTTATTTTCTTTCCAAATCAACAAACATAGTTGTCACCACTGTGAATACTTTGTAATACTCTAAAAAGATCTCGACTGAGTTTTTCAGAAAACCTTGAAATTAAGGGTTTGCAAGCTGAGGGAAGCAAATTCCCAATAGAAAATTGAGGGTTGCTGAGAGAACAGAGAGATGAAGAGGACGGGTGGGAGTGGCTGTTTTTGTTGTGTAGCCCTGGGAGACAAAAAGGAAGCCCAGCCAAAAGAAAACCCAGGAAAAGCAAACCGGGCCTCTGACTGATAGTGCTACGTTCACAGAAGGGGAGGAAGCTGAGCTTTGAGCAAACAGCTGAAGTGGTCTGTTAAAAAGCACGTGGGTGTGTTCTGTTGAAAACCAGATGCTGTGACACACTGCAGGAGGGAGAAGGGGATCAAATTCAAGCTGGCCCAGAGTATGTGAGAATTCTCCCACTGCATGTGATACAAAGTGGCCATGCGTTCACAGCTCAAGCGTCTAAGCTTTTTGCATTGCTAGGGCCAGAATGGAATGACCACAGATCTCTCCAAGTGGAAGCTAAAAGAATAACCGTAGCAGACAAGTGTCATAGGCATTGGTGCATAAGCCATGCAGGAATACAAGACACAAGCAGATTTCACACGAACATTCAAGAAATGTGAATAGTTTTGTCATGAATGTATTAAAAGGGACCAATGTTGGGGCTGGCCCCGTGGCCGAGTGGTTAAGTTCGCGCGCTCCGCTGCAGGCGGCCCAGTGTTTCGTTGGTTCAAATCCTAGGTGCGGACATGGCACTGCTCATCAAGCCAGGCTGAGGCAGCGTCCCACATGCCACAACTAGAAGGACCCACAACGAAGAATATACAACTATGTACTGGGGGGCTTTGGGGAGAAAAAGGAAAAAAATAAAATCTTTAAAAAAAAAAAAGGGACCAACGTTAACAAAAGCATCAGAAGTACGCTGACACCCTTCAGAACAGTTCAGGTTTTACAAACTTAGTAAATTCTTGCTGCATAGACAGAACTTAAAACTTTAACTGGATTCCAGTATACATTATTCAGGATTTAGATGAACCAATATTTTCCCGTACAAAACAACTTCTCCTATTAAGCTGACACATTATTTGCTCTGATTGACTTTCCGTTCACAGTAAGAGAGCACTGGATACAGAACAAAGTTTCAGTGCTTTTTCTAGGGGGAATTTTTTCTTATTTCTGGCTAATCCAATACTTCAAATCAGTGGCTTTGACATATTCATTTTTATATTAGAAAGTACACATTGTTTGGAAAGAAAGCTTTTAAATTAACTTTTAAAAATTAAAGCTATGCAATATAGATTCATAATTGTTGTTTGCCTTTTTGTTTTTATGCAAGTAAGCGATAATTTCTCCTTCTACGTACTCAACATTTGCCAGTTTAATGATAGCTTTAGACAGAAGCATTGGCCAGAGTTCAAATTCACAGGTTGTAGCTGGAAGCAACAGATTGTTATCTTCATCAAAAGGCAGAAAGTCATCAACAGTTATCTTTCTCCAGCAACCCTACAAATGAGAGGAGAGGAGTATGCCATCAGTGACTTATTTTCTCTCACATGTTATTACACACTGCTGATATTACTGTTTACTGTTTTACATTTTATGTTAGCTTCTTACATCTAAGGACTGACATATTGGTTTTCAACACTGCTCTGGCTGACCATTTTAGCTTATTATTTTAATTAATATAATTACAGCACATCCACATCTATGTCAACAGCGTCATTATTTATGAGATCCTGTAAGCACATTCTTGGGTGCCCCATGCTATGTAATGCAGTAAATTAAAATGTTTCAAATGGCATAAACAAAAATTATACAACCATGGATGAGTTTGGGCATAATTAAATAACTTAATATAGTCATAATGCAAATTCCCCAAATATAGCTTTAGTAATTATTGTTTATCCTAATAGGCTCAGTGATCTTATACCTCCAATTATCGTATTACCCCTATTATTAATTAATGATCAAATTTTTTGACATGAAGTTAATACTTTAATAAAATCATTATATTTCCCTGTATACATATTACTTGATAATTAAATGCTTGAGCCAAATGATAACATTAATGATCGTGAACTCGAAGATTTTTTTAAACTTTGGTTTTACATGTGAAATTTTCTGGTGATTTATTCCTTTGCATAAGATATATTTTCGGCAGTGATGCAAGCATTGTGAACCCAAAGCTCTGCATAACACATGGCCTAAACCATTGAATTGCTTATAGTCCAGTGACGGAAGGTATATACGCAAACAATACAAAATATAATATGTTCGAAGTGCTTTAGGACCAGAAAGGAAAGTGTGACTAATTTTGCATGGGGGAAGTCTTCATAAGAAGGTGACATTTGTACTAAAGATACAAAGGACAATATATTTTTCCCAGGTAGATAGGAGCAGTAGGGTGAAAAAATATTGTCTTTCTATGACACTTGTAACTCTGAACTCACATTGCCTTATTTCGCAGTTATACGTCTTTTTCTTTCTTCCCTAAGAGATGATGTAGGACAAGACAGGGTCAAAGGCACAGGTGCTTAGCCACCTCCTGTTCTGATTCAAATGAAATGACCCAAAAGAATACACAGTGAAATGAGCCAGATACGAAAGGACAAATATCGTGAAATTCTAAGTGGAATCATTTCCATTTACATGAGATGCCTGGAAAAAGCAAATTTATAGAAACAAAAAATACCATAGAGGTTACCAGAGGCTGGGAGAAGAGGGGAAGGAGAAGTCGTTGTTTGATGGGTATGGAGGTTCTGTTCAGGATAATGAAACAGTTGAGGAAATAAATAGTGGTGACGGTTGCACAGCACTGTAGAAAGACACAATGCCTCTGAATTGTACATTTATAATGGCTAAAATGCCAAATGTTATGCTATGTGTATTTGACCACAATAAAAAAATAGTAAAAGGAATCCCCTCCCTACATTTTGATTTTCAAAAAAATCTTTAAAGGGGACAGCTGGATTTTTATGAAGGAAAAGTTTTAAGCAGCCATCAGAACTTGTTAGACCAGTTCAACAAATATCTCCTGCTTCCAGAGGATCGATGATAACATATTTCAATGAAGAATGCATTGATTACTAAGCACTATTGAACTTCACACATTAAATACGTGAACTATATGGGATGTGAATTGTAGCTCAATAAAGCTATTACCAAAAAAAATGCACAGGAATGAATGCTCAGTATTAAAACTCTAAACCATCATTTGACTGGTATTATAACAATTTTCTTGGAAAGTTTTTTGATTCATTGATATTAACACATTGGTTGGTTGCATCCTTAAAAAATAAAATATTACATGTATATATGTATAAATAATTTATCTGAGACCTCATTATAGAACATTGAATTGTTTTTGCATTTAGTATTTTTTTTGTTATAGCATATAAATTATGTATATTGGACATTTTTCACTGAGTTTACTGTGTTAGCACCATATAATTTTAAAAGACCATCAAAATGTTTAAGTATAGAATGTTTATGAAGGAAGATGCCTCCTTTGTTAATATAAATATAAATTACTAAGATCCTTTAGATGGTTTCTTTCCCCAGTGGAGTCAATGGACCGAACCATGACTTCCATCCTCCCACTGCAGTAAAGAGGAGGTGCCCTGCCCTGGGAGAGCCTCTTGGAGGAATGAAGTGGCACACTTTCCCCTCCTCAAGTTGTGCTAAGGAGATTATCGGGTGGAGTCTTATCATCTGGGTAATGAACAAGAGTGGCAGACAGCATAGGACTGCACAGGCTTTATAAACTAAACCACCTTTGAAACAAAGCCCACAAAAGTGAGCCAGGATGCACATTCTCAATCAAAACAGGTCGACTACCTGCTAAAATGGAAATTTTAATTAGGAACCAGAGTCATAAAACATCACACTAACAATGTCCAGGAAACTGTCCAATATTATCCATCATATCAAAGCCCAGGAACATCTCAATTTCAATGAGAAAATACATTATGGACCACAGCACCAAATTGATAGGGAGGTTAGAATTTTCAGGTAAGAAATGTAAAGTCTTGTCATAGAAATGCTTCAACAAGCAGTTACGAATACTCTTGAAACAAATAGAAATTCTCAGCAAAGAAATAGAAGATGTAAAAGAGGAAAACATGAAAATTTTGAACTTAAAATTGAACAAACAAACAAACTTGTCACTAGATCAATAGTTGAACACAGATGGCAGAGAAATTAGTGAAGTTAGATCAATAGAAACTATAAACAGCAAAGAAAAAACAGATTTAAAGAAAGGATATGAGCCTCAGGGACCTGTGAGACAATGCAAAAAGATATAACCTTTAATATCTTTGGAGTCTCAAAAAAAGAGGAAAAAAGAATGTGGGGCTGAAAATATGTTTGAAGAAATAATGGCTGAAAACTTCCCAAATTTGTCATAAAACATAACACTACAGATTCAAGGCGCTCAGAATACCCCAAACAGGATAATTCCAAAGAAATCTACACCAAGACATGTCAAATTCAAACTTCTGAAAACTCAAGACAAAGGAAAAAACCCTGAAAGCAGCCCGTGAGAAAAGACATGTTACCTGTAGGAGAACAGCAGGCTGCTCTTCAAAAACCACACAGGCCAGAAGGAAGAAGCACACTGTTTTTCAAATGCTGAAAGAAAAGGACTGTCAACCCAGAATTCTGTACTGAGAGAAAATATCCTCTAAGAATAAGGGCGAAATAAAAACATTTTCAGATAAAGGAAAGATAAGATAATGTGTCACCAGGAGATCAGTTCAAAAAGAATGGAAAAAGGGAATTCTTCAGAGGTAAAACAAAAGAAAAAAAAGAAAGAAAATGGAACATTAGGAATGAAGAAAGAGCAAAGGAAAGAGTAAGCTTATGGGTAAATGACAGCACATTCTTCTCCTATTGAGCTTTTAAAATTATATTTGATATTTAAAATTTTTTTTAATTTAATTTAAAAACTTTAAAATTTTTTAAAATTTGACTTTTTGATGAGGGTCTTAATATGCATAGAGAAAATATTTAATATGACTATACTATAAAGGAGGGATATAAAGGGACCTAAATAGTGGTTAAATTATATTCCAATTTAAGTGGTAAAATATTGATATTAGTGGACTATGATAAGCTATGTATGTATAATTTCATCCCTAGAGCAACCACTAGCAAAAAATCATATAAAGAGATATACTCAAAAACACTAGAGATAAACAAAATGGAATCCTAAAGAACATTCAAGAAACACATAAGAGGATGGAAGAAGAGACAGATACGAAAAGTAACAGAAGTAAAAGGGTAGACAAATAATAAAATAGCAGACAAGTCCCAATTATATCAAATATAATTGCACACAAATCAAAATACAAGAGCAATTTGAATATACTTATCAAAATTAAGAAAGTGCATATGTTTTGACAGAAAAATTGCACATGTAGAAATCCTAGGAAAATACAGTCACGCAAATGGACAAAAATTTATATACAAAGAAGCTATTTTACCCCACTGTTTCTACTGGTAAAACACTGGTCATAACCTATATGTCTGTTGATATGAAATTAGCAAAATATGTATAGTTATTGTTACACTCAAACAATGGAGTAGAAGGTACATCAATATCTATTAGCATAAGAAATGTCCACAGTTAGGGAAAAAATACAGAACAATGGGCACCGTATGATCCTACTGTTGCTATAAATTCTATACAGTAGGTTTACATATAAGAACAAAGTTTAGGAGGATATACAGAAATCAGTCACTACGTTGTCTGTATAGGTGGAATCATGGGGAACTTTCATATTCCACTTTGAAAATTTTAATAGTGTTTGAATTTGGTTTATTAAGAGCATATATAATGTTAATAATAATGAAATAAGACTAAAAATAGTTCCATTTTGGAAAAAAATAATTGAATGATAGAAAAATAATTTGTCAGGGTATATATCTTGCAAACAGTGTTCTTCGAGTTCAAAGATCAAAAATGTCACTGGGTGGGAGAGAGTTTGTTTGAAACGTCGAGATGTGGTCTCTGCCCAGAGACTCTGACTCGGGGTCTGTGCTGGGGCATGGGAAGCACCATAGGAGATGTTGATGCTGGTGGTTTTCTGCACTCCATAGTTTAAGAAACTGAATTCTATAATAATATTGTGCTTAAAAAGTATAAAGGTCAATCAAAAACAAATGCTGGGGTCAGCTGGGTGGCATAGTGGTTAAGTTTGCGAGCTCCACTTCAGCGGCTCAGAGTTCACAAATTCAGATTCTGGGTTCAGACTTATATGCCACTCATCAAGTTATGCTTTCAGAGATATCCTACATACAAAATAGAGGAAGATTGGCAGAGATGTTGGCTCAGGGCCAATCTTCCTCACCAAAAAACACAACAAAAACAAAAGCTAACACATTTTTCATACCAATAGATTGATAGCAACGTGGGAAAATTGTTGGTCCCAACGTGTGTGTTTTCTCTGGTTATTCAGAGACAAATGACAGCATTGGGACACTCAAAGAAAGGCTGCCAAGAT